GCGGGGTACCCCCGCCCCTACCGACGGGCAGGGCAGGGCCTGAGCCGGCAGGACCGGCCCCGTTGGCTGTACCCGCGTGGGCAAAACAATTAGGGGGGAGAAAAAAGACAGGAGGAAAATAATAGGGGATGGGGGAGTAGCGGAAAAAAATGGGGCGGGAGGGGGTGGAATAAGGGAGAAAATAGGAGGGAAATAGGAGGGAGAATAATAGGAACGGGAAATAGGGGGAAAACGCGAGGCAAATAGGAGTAAAGGAAGAGGAAAGTATAGGTGAAAGTAACAGGGCGGAAAATAAGGAAGAAAATAGGGAGGGGAAATATAGCGGGGGGAATAGAGTAGGGGGGAAAAAAAAACGGGGGGAAAAAAAAGGGGGAAAAATACTTTTCCCGCCCCAATTTTTCTCTGTATAGGAGGAAACGAGAGTTTCGGCGGGGAGGGCATCCCTTCCGGGGCTGTCTCGCTCTGACCGCCATCTCCGGGCACGGACACGAGTGGCATCTCCCACGCAGGCAAGGACCGGGGCGACAGTCCCCGGGATGCGGACGGGAAACCCAGGGAGGAAACATGGAAACATGCCCCCCTGGGTACTTGTGCTTGCTCTGGCCACAGGCTCGGAGCGCGGTGTCCAAGCCCGGGCAAACGATGACAGGAGCGGGGTTGTGCTTGTGTCCCCGTCCCCGAGTTGCTGTGACAGGTTCCGTATCCCCGGCAAAGAGGGGAAGGCTCAGGGCGGTTAATGTGCTCTCAATAATTAATAACAACCCCCCGCCCTGCTCATAATGCAGATCGGAAACTTCTCCAATTACTTCTCATTAAACGCCTGTCGCCCGCGAGTGGGACGCAGCATCCAGCAGCATCCCTCCTTGGGGGTCCCGCGCTGTCCTCTGTCACAAAAATGCGGGACAGATCGGTTCAGGCCCTTGTCCCCGACCATCTCTGTCCCCCGCTCCCGGCGTTCCCAAAGACCGGTGCACCTGGAGCGGAGGACACGGGACATCTCATTTCTGACCACGATCCTTGATCATTTTCATCCCTATTCCTGCATCCGAGCATCCCCAGCTTCCCCAACCCCCCCTGTCCCACCCCCGCCCCCCGGTCGCGTTCCCTCTGTTCCGTTCCGGCCGTTAATTCCCCCCAATACAGCTTTATTTTTCGAAGTGGGGGGTACACAGGG